ACGATGACCCCTAAACCCTAAACCCTAAACCCGAAACCCTAAACCCTAAACCCTGAACCCTAAACCCTAAACCCTAAACCCTAAACCCCAAAACAGCCTTCGACGAGCCAAGGCGCGCTTCTCGGCGAAGCCACGACGTGGAAGCCGGCAGACGTCAGGAACTCGGTAAGCTCCTGCTAAGGCTCAGCAGCTAGGGTTTAGGGTTTCGGGTTTGGGGTTTAGGGTTTAGGGTTTAGGGTTTAGGTTTAGGTTTAGGTTTAGGGCTTAGGGTTTAGGGTTTATGGTTTAGGGTTTATGTTTCTTGCAGGGCATTATGGAGCTTTATCGGGTAGGGTTTAGGGTTTAGGGCTTCCGGAGAGCCGTTACCCTCAAAGCCGCAACTCGAGCCCACAAACCCCAGTGCCCAGTTTGAATTGAACCACATCGCTTTTCTACATACACCCCAAAGCTGTTGACCGTAAAACCTAGACTAAATCCTAAACCCTCAACCCAACTCCCCTACATCCTCGACTGAAAGCCTGAGCACAGGAAGCCGTGTGTTTGAAAGTTCCCCCAACATCCCGTCCATCATGCGGGTGAGCTTTTTCACAGTAGTCTAATTTAATATGGAGCAATCACAGGCACAAGGGTCCAACACTGCAGGACCAAAACTCGTCCTTGCAGATCCCAGAGAGCAACCCAGATAACACCCTAAATCCTTAAACTCCGAAAACGCCCAAGCCCGGAACCCCGACCCCAAAGGATTTCCGACCCGAAAGGGTTTAGGGTGTAGGGTTTAGGGTTTAGGGTTACTACTCCCAGGTTTCGATGCCTCGGCAGGCATGTTGTTGACCCAGCAGCCATCCGGGTGCAGAAGATCTTGCCTTTGGGAGGGAAAGGTGCATCATTGCTGGCTGCTTGAGGGGTTCGATCGGGATTCTAGAAAGGTTGGGTTGTAGCTTGAAGGAGTTCTGGAAGGATTTGCTTAAGGGTTCCACGATAAAAAAAAAGGCTCTATAAGGGTTACGTAAAAGCCAGTGGGAGATCTTTCCTCAAAACAAAGTTGGGTCAGGTCTTGAAGGTATGTGTGTGTGTATATATATATATATATATCATATATACATACATATATATATATATGTACACATGTGTATATATATATATATATAATAGCATTTACTTAGGGTGTAGAATCTACTGTAGAGTCTAGGCTGCATTGGGACCCTATGGATCCACTGATCATTGGCAATTGCTTGTGCTGTTTTGGGTCCCGGACATGCCATAGCTTCGAAAAACACAGAAAGTTCGGGCCGGTTGGGGCACTCCCCCCACACTCAAAACCCTAAACCTTACAAACCCTAAATGGGGGTTTCCGAAAATAGGGGATCCTAATATCGTACCTTAAATAGTAGGATCCTCATTATAAGGACCCCCAAGCAATACGGCACCCCGTATTTTCTGAAACCAAATCCCAAAACCCGAAACGTATGCCCAACAAAAACCGGATCCAGACTTGAGGGGCAGGAGAAGGTCTTGGCTTCGGGGTTCGTGTTTAGGGTTTAGGGTTTACGGTTTGGGGTCTAAGCTTTAGGGTTTAGGGTTTAGGGGCCTTAATAGTCAGAATACGGTCTTTGGAGTATATTATACTATAACGAAAGTAAGGAACCCCCCCAAAAAAATATAGGTAATTATTTAGGCCCCGATGTTATCGGTTTCAGAGCTCGCACTGGGGCTTAGGGGATAGAGTTTGGAGCTTAATGTTAGGGGCAGGCTGCGGTATTGCGACCCTGAACCCTAAACCCAACACTTTTCGGGTTGGTAGAACAAGGGATGGGGCCGGCTGTCGTTCAAAGACGTCCTCCCAGTTTTACGGCGTGGACATAAAACCCTAAACCCTAAACCCTAAACCCATAATATCCACCAGGAGCCTCTGCAGGACCAACAGTTTGCATGTCGGCCTGCTTCCTAGAGGATCCTAATCTAAACCGGAAACCCTTAAGCCCTTAAACCCTTAAAACCAAAACCCTTAAACCCTTAAACCCTAAATCCTAAACCCAAAATTAAAACCCTTAAGCCCTAAACCAGCAACTAAGAATGCAGAGACCGCGAGCACCAGGCATGCTCCCAAGTAAATTTGCGCCTGGATAGTTCAGGTACACCCCAAATGTAACGGTTAGGGTTTAGGGTTTAGGGTTTAGGGTTTAGGATTTAGGGTTTAGGGTTTAGGGTTTAGGATCATAAGCCCCAAACCGCAAGCCTAAACCTTGAGCCCTCTAACCCCAATGATCTGAAGCCAGCAGTTGTTCTGTTTTCTGAACCCATGGACCCTCAAGCATATTAATCAGCATATATAATAATACATGATATGGTTTCCTTGTTATGGTTTCCTTATTACTTTTTGCAGTAACTTAAACTGAGTTCCTTAGTAAGAACCCAGTGAAGCCCCAGGCCCAATAGCTCGACGAAAACTTGGGACAAGTCGCTGCCCTGGAGGCATCGTGACCAAAAGAACACCTGTGAGCCGGGTATCTGTAGAGTGGGGCCTTGATGGTTAAAGGGTTTAGGGTTTACGGGTTTAGGGTTTTAAGGTTTTGGGGTCTATAATGGTTTAGGGTTTAGGGGTTTAGGGTTCAAGGGTTTGGGGTTTCGGGTTTTAAGGTTTTGGGGTTTACAGAATAAGGTTTGGGGTACGTTGAAGTTTGAGTCTAAGTGTTGCTAGGCTATTGGGTTGAAGGCTGCGGCAGGCATTTCTGGACGCGACACTGGTCTTACGCAGATTTGGGGGTTTTGATTGTAGAGTGTAGGGCTTGGCATTCCGAAATTGCTGGAGGCCGGTAAGTTCCTGCACCTTAAAGTCCCAAGCCCGTTCGAGTGCTTTTCACACATGAAGAAGACGTTTAGCATAGAATCCTGGCATACGAGATGAGTACAACATGCCCGACAGCCCCCATACCTCGCATGTTCACATCAAAACTCATGCAGAAATACACCCCCAAACCTTCACCACTTGAAGCCCTGAGCCCTCAAACCAGCAAGTGCGTCGAAGGCTGCATTCTTCGGCAAAGCCCTCAAAGCCTAAACAGTTGGTTATCTTACCAAATCCTATGGCCCCTCAAAACTCCAGTCGACACAAGGAAATCGGGAAGGCACCATCCGATGAATCCTTCACCCGAAACCCCACAGCCTGAACTTTCAAACCCTAAAACCTGAAAGCAACTCCAAGTCTTGAAACCAAAATCTCTTAATTGAATTGCGCAAACCCCGCACCATCCTTCGCCAGGAGACCCTGTAAAGTATACCCTAAATCCCCCCGGTATAAAATCCTAAACCCTAAACCCTAAACCAAAAAAATCTAAGCCGGGCACCATCCTTTACCAGATGCTCGCTTAGCTTCAGCAACGCCCCGGCCAAGCGTACTCGGGGAACCTCCGATCCGTAGCAGCGGCAACTATTGAGCATATTCTGCTGGGTTTAACCGTTTTAACCGGCTTCTCCAATACCTTTTGATGATTTCCAGGGCTGCGTTAAATTTGGTGTCTGGGTTTGGTTGGATATGTGGGTTTTTCCCTGGTTTCATAAGGTCTTGCTGGGATCTTTCCAAGAAGTATGCGTGGGTGCAGCATGAAGAGGCCGGAGAAAGTGCAGCGCTTGGTCGCCAAGGGCTTAGGACGTAGCGTTTGAAGTTTAGAGTTGGCGTTTAAGGTCTAGAGCTTAGGTTTTGACTTGGCCTCCACCGGAAATCTGAAGGAGCTGAAGACCTGAATACCTAGTTTTAGTACCCCCTTCCTCTACTATAGGCGCCTTCATGACTAGAACAGGGTTTGGGGATTCTACGTATAGTATCAGTCCAGGACCCTCAGGGCGAATATCTGTCGTAATTTAGGCTTCTATGTCAACCAAACCCTAAACCCCAGTACTCATAGAAACCCCAAAACCCCACAGCCACTATTTATAAAAAGCCCCGAACCCTAAACCCCAAAACTCTCGCAAGACCCTGAACCCAAAAGCCCAAAACATCAAATTCACAACCTTAGCCCGAGGGGCGTGGTAAAGCGAGGCCAAGCAGAAGGCACCTCGGGGTACGCACAAAGGCTGCAGCCCTGAAGCCCAAAGCCCTACAGCGAACCCCAGAAAGGTGGAACGCGGGTTTGGGCGGATTTGTGCTAGGACCCCTTATACTTTACCTTAAGACCATGAGGGTTGTAATGTTCCAACTTAATGGCGTCCACTATACAGGGTAATCTTAGGCTTTGCACCTGGTTCTGCAGAAACCGCGGATCAATATCAGCTGGCCTCTTGCTTGTACCCCCGGTCCCGCGGAGACCGAGTCCCACAAAGATCGCGCATCATCAGCATCAGCCGGCCTCTGCGCACATCTGGTCCAGCAGAGAACGCACATCATACGCAGTAGCTGGCGTCCGTGCAATCCTGGTCCCGCTGAGCCCGTGCATCGTCAGCATCAGCCCGGTCTTTGCGGTAAACCTGGCCACAACAGGGGCCCGCATCATCAAGATCAGCCGGCCTCTGTGCACACCTGGTCCCGCAAAGAAGGCGCATCATCAGCATCAGCTGGCCTTAATGAAAACTTGGTCCCCTAAAGACTACGCAGGCCTCCGTCCGCGTAAACCTGGTCCAGCAAAAGCCGCGCATCATGAGCATCAGCCGGCCTCTGCGCACACCCGGTCCCGCAATGAACGCGCATCAGCAGCATCAGCCGGCCTCCGTGCACACCTGGTCCCACAAAGAACGCGCATCATCAGCATCAGCCGGCCTCTGTGCACACCTGGTCCCCCGCACTGAACGCGCATCATCAGCATCAGCCGGCCTCTGTGCACACCCGGTCCCACAAAGAACGCGCATGATCAGCATTAGCTGGCGTCGGTGCAATCCTGGTCCCGCGGAGCCCGCGCATCATCAGCATCAACCGGCCTCTGTGGTGTACACCAGACTTCCCAAAGGCCGCACATCATCGGAAGTAGCCATCTGCACAGACCGCATCAGGAGCATCAGCTGGTGAAGCTAGTCCCGCAAAATCCGCTCATTGTGTACACCCGGTCTCGCAAAAACATGCACTGTAGATCTTGTTTCGCAGGAATCGTGCATCATCAGCATCAGCCGGCCTCTGTGCACACCCGGTCCCACAAAGAACGCGCATCATCAGCATCAGCCCGGTTTCCCTGCAAACTTGGTCGCAACAGGAGCCGCGCATCATCAGCAACAGCCGGCCTCCCCCCAGAAGCAGCAATCATCAGCATCAGCTGGCCTCTGTGCACACCTGGTCCAGCAAAGAACGCGCATCATCAGCATCAGTCCGGTTTCTCTGCAAACTTGGTCCCAACAGGAGCCGCGCATCATCAGCATCAGCTGGCCGCTGTGGTTTGCAACTGATTTCCCAAAGGCCCCACATCATCAGCATCAGCCAGCCTCTGCAAACCTTTTCCCACAGAAGCTGCGTGTCATCAGCATCAGCCCGCCCCCGGCGCACATGTGGTCCGCAGAAGCCGCGCATCATCAGCATCAGCTAGCCAATGTGCAATCCCGCAAAGGCTGCGCATCATCAGCATCAGCCGGCCTCTCTGTAAAGTTGCTCCCACAAAAGCTGCATCATCTGCCGACCTGTGTAAAACTAGTCCAGCGCACCTTTTTGATGGTTTGTTTTGAGAAGTTGTGAAGGAGCTGTGATGAGGCGCAGAGGCAAGTGTACGGCTAGCTCGAGCACGGGTGTTGGAGATACATTAGAAGAAGACTCGAGGGCTCGTCCTGTTGTCCTCCGGGCTTTGTGGCTTTCGCGACAAATTGCTTGAACTGCTTACACCAGAAACAATTAAGTCCACAACGGGCATGAGGGCATAAACCTCCTACTGCGACGGCGAAAAATCCGAACAAACATGGAACTCAGAACCATGACCAGACCCGCTTCAACATGCAAAGAAAGCAACTGCAAGCAATGCTGCAAACCGTGTTAAACATGCAAGCCGCGGGAACTCAACCCCGAGCCCTGCCCGATACCCCAAGCCCTATGCACCCTAAACCCCAGCCCGAAATGAAGAGCCCCCCTCAGCGCTGCACCGTGGAAACGCGTCGGGAGGTTGATAGAGCCGAAGTTCGCCATGTGCACTTGCTGCCCACTTCCTCGTCTTCTCTTGTCTCCGTTTCGGCGCTTAGGGGCTGAGGGGCTGAGTACCTTAGCCCAAAAAGGTTAGCCTTTGAGTTATAGTAGGATTATAACGCCCCAAAAGTTTGAAGCTTACCTACTCAGCCCCTAGGAGTAGAAGAAGAAAAAAAAGAAATCAGACTAGGGTTCCTTCTTATTCCGACCCCTGCATGGACCCCAAAAGTGTGTAGAATAATAGCCCTTTCTAGGCTTTGGGCCATTATTCTACCTACTTTTGGGGGTTCAGGTACCTACATTTTCCCAAGCCATGGGCTTGGCAACAATGCTGAGCACACGGCCCATGAGCCAATGAGCCGCATTTTAAGGAACTACTATGGGGCCTATGGGTAAAGCCCACACCCTAAATCCGATAGTGTCGCCAGGGATCTAGCGCGGGCCTTGGCGACCAGCCGCGGGCAGGGGTCGAAGCCCTGACAGTCGTAGCCCAGGTCCCGAAAAGCAGCCAGGTCCCGTCCGATACCGCAGCCTTGAGAAAGGAGAGCGGCTAGGTTTAGGGTTTAGGGTTTAGGGTTTAGGGTTTAGGGTTTAGGGTTAGGGCGGGTTTAAACGGTTTAGGGTTTAGGGGGGCTGTGGGTTCCTGTCAAGGGCTTCTTTGAAGCTTCCGTGAAGGCCTCTACCCACAGGCCCCATAGTATAGTTCCTTGTTGGGATTCCCTTATAGGATCCTCAATATAAGCCACAAAAAGGAACCTTTATGGGGCCTATGGGTATAAGGGTTCCTTTAAGGAGACCTTTCAGGTTCGTTTGAAGGGTCTGATCAGCGTTTCCAGAAGGCTCTTGTTCAGGGCTTAGGGCTGAAAATTTAATTGCAGGATCCAGGGACCCTGGTGTTTCATGTGGGTGTCTGACGAATAGAACCCCCCTGCTCAATGACAGATCATGTCGGGGCAAGGTAACCCAGACCCTAAACCCCTATAAACCCTAAACTTCTAAACACTTAAACCCGAAACCCGAAGGTCTAGAGCTTTCTGAGTTTAGGACCTCAAGCTTCGGCTCATGTCCCAAAGAGGCCCCCGACCCTAAACCCCCAAGGTTCGAAGAGTTGACCCTCAACGGTTTACCCAAACCCTAAACCCTAAACCCTAAAACCCTAAACCCTAAGCCCTGAACCCTAAACCCTGAACCCTAAACCCGGAACCCTAAATCCTAAACCCTAAACTATAGGGTTTAGGGTTTAGGGTTTAGGGTTTTAGGGTTTAGGGTGTAAGGGCCCTCAACGAAGGCCATTCTGCTGCCCCGAACCTCGCAACCCAAACCCCCCAAAGAAGGTAACATAATATAGGGGCTTTAATAATTGGAATAGGGTTTTGGGGCCCACTATACTATAATTAAAATCAGGAAGCCCCAAAGCAGTAATTATTTGGCCCCTACATTAATGGCCCAAAACCTATAAAGGGCTATGAAGCCATGATCCTACACACTTTTGGGGCCCCGGTAAACCTCACACGTGGTGCTTACGAAAGTTGAGAGTTTCTGGATTTAGGGCTTTAGGTTTTGCGGGTTCTACGGATATAGTTAGGCTTCCGGATTTAGGGTTTAGGGGTGTAGGGCTTAGGGTTTAGGGTTTAAGGTTTAGGGGTATAGGCGTATAGTTCGCCCTGAACCCTAGACCCTAAACCGTGGTTGGGGATAGTTGGGGGGGAGCTCTAGCAAAACCCCTTCATATCCTCCGACAGGCGGCCACAGTCCAGGATCTTAAGATCGGACTTTCGGCGTCCTCCGCAGCAGGGCTTGGCGGCTTGTCGTGTTTTTGGGACTTAGAGTTTTACCATAAGGATTCCTTGAAAGGGTTCTATAAGGGTACTATAAAGGGTACTATGAAGGCTACTATAAGGGTTCCTTTACAGTTGGGTATTGCGGCTGTGTGCCCATAGGCCCCATAGTAGTTCCTTCTTGTGGCTTATATTTAGGATCCTATTAGGGAATCCCCAAAAAGGAACTGCTATGGGGCCTATGGGTAGTTGTGAAAAAGAGCAGTGAAAGCTTAGGATGTATGTAGAGCCTGCCCTATCAAGAACTGTATCTTGTGATGCTTCTCGCGGATTTGCTAAACATCTAGGCTCACGAACGGCCTGGCTCACGGAGTTCAAGCCTTGGACCCTACCTAAAAACCCAAAAGTAGGTAGAATAATGGCCCAAAGCCTAGAAAGGGTTTAGGGTTTAGGGTTTTGGGTTTAGGGTCCCTACCTAAACCCCGAAAAGTAGGTAGAATAATGGCCCAAAGCCTAGAAAGGGCTATTATTCTACACACTGTTGGGGTCCAGGTAAACCCTAAACCCAACCGCGGCGCGAAAAGGAGTCGCCTGGGAATGCCGTGTGGATGGCTTGAAGGAAAGTCTCCCTGATCTCCCGGGCGATCTTCTCCTGTCAAAGTTCTTCTTGGAGGGTTCTTCAAGACTTCGAGGTTTCGGGTTTAGGGTCTAGACCCTAAACCCTAA